GGGCAACAGTGGGCCAAGTCGGCCTGGGTGGGTGGGCCGCAGGGGAGGGGGAGGAGGAGAGGGACAGGGAGGGAGGGAGGGAGAAGGAGGGGAGTCGGTCAGTAAGCCTCTCCAGACACAGAGGCCAAAGGGGGAAAAGAGACGAAGACGGCGACACAAACAGGGAGAGAAAGAGGGACAGGAGGCGAGCTAGAGAGAGAAATGTTGAGGCAGGGGGAGAGACGGACAGTGAAGGGAGGCATGGGCTCTGGACTGGAGGGTGGGAGGGGCAGAGTGAGGGGGAGGCAGTGGGCAGAGGGATGGGAGGAGAATGTGGGGGCCAATGGAAAGCGAAATGGAGAAGAGCCTGTACTACAAAACCTTTTTCTGTTTACATTTTCTGGAATTTTCATGCCTCAACTATTTACTTTTCCACGTAAATAAAATATTTTCTGACAATCTCTGTTATAACCAGGAGATCATCAAAGTTTAAGTTCTGAAGGTTTTTCACTACTGATCCTCTTTTACCCAACTCACACACAACTAATATATATATATATATATATATATATATATACACAGAATCTTTTAAAATGTATTACTTTGCAGACACTGGGGAATGTCATTAAACAAATAAAAATCTCCCCTCCACCAGCTTCCTCAATTATTTGCATATGTGGTTATTACATCATTCAGTGGTTGCCACATTTTGTCAGTTTTGATAACGTGTAAAAAGTTTACTGAATACACTTCTTTAAGGCTGCTGATTATTGATTCATCTGCCAGTCTAAGATATGTCAGACAATAATTTCACAGAGCCAAAGGTGACACTTCACATTTGAGAAGCTTGAACCAGGCACTTTTTTCCCTTGAAAATGATTCAACTATTAATCGAATATCAAAATTGTTTCTGATTAATTTTCTGTCCATCTCTGCATACTTTTAACCTGACTGCGCCACATGTTCAGTTGGTTGGTTGATTGAGGGTTTTACCTACTAGAATTAAAAACAAAATCCAGAATAGTCTTTCAGCTCAAACAATCACTCAGAAAACATCAGAACAACCACCAGCAGCCTTTACTGTAAAGTTAATTCTAATACAGAGGAAAGAAAAGATGTTCTCAGTAAGCAGAGTAATAGAGTACATTGATTGCTGCCATGCTGTTGAAATATGACTGTGCTGTAATGTCTTTTATATTAAAATAAGCCACACATCACTCTGAGCTTTACTGGGTTATTCCAACATATAATGTTTATATATTTATTTATGTGTCAACTGGTGATGTGAAGGTTTATTAAGTTTGCAGGGACTGTGGTTTCACCTGTTAAGACCAGAGGTTCTCAAATGAAGTGATATTTTAAAAAGAAGCGAGATTTAAATGGAGGGTACAGCTCTCTAGTAACAGACAGCAGGGTGTGGATAAACAGCAGGCCGATGCGTCACTAATGTTGACCCATAAAATGGTTTGTGGATTAACCAGTTATTAATGAAAAACTGTATCATCAAGGTCACCAGAAGTGTTTCTCACTGAAACTTGACTGAAAACTGTGGCCCCGTTATAAAAAAAACCTTTAAGACACTTTGTAGAGATTGTGTGATTGTGTTTGTGTGTGTGTGTGTGTGTACCAACCATTCCATAATCCACACCGTTGGATATGGTGTGCCGCCTCTGCTCATCCCGACTTCGCCCGTGTCGCCTGGAGCCGCCAGTAAATCCTGTTGCTGATTCGCTCTGAGATCTTGGTAAACCTGATTTCACAACACCTACACAAATGTGAAACAGACAGATTGAATCAATTTCAACACAACACTGTAGTCTGGAATGCACTCTGTTATTACTGCAGTTTTGCTGGTTGTTGTACCATAAGGGAAAAAAACCCACTTTGTAATCCTTTATTACTAATATTAGGCAATTAGAAATGCTCAAACATGTTGTTGTGGAATAAAACATATTTCTGACCACTATGTACAACTAATAGCTAAGCAGCAGTAGTGGAAAATAAAGTCTTAAAGCGTTAAAGAGTTTTTACACAATAATTATATCACAAATGTGCAAAGAATTATGTATGTTCTCTTATTTAGAGGGAAACAGTCAGACAGTTGCATTGCACAAACTCTTTGAACACTTCCCTCTGGTAGGAGGCT